GCATACACACATACACACAGAACCTTAGACAAGATGCGCTCAGCCTATGTCGCTGTTACAACACGAGCAAGTTGGGAAAACGAGGTTAAACCAGTTATTGGCTGTTGTTTTATAGTTAAAATAGAAGTTACTATCATCAGCCACTAGATACTCTTTCCTCGGGTTCCGGAGAGACCAACTTCTCGATCCATTCCAACAAGTTAGAAAACGAGGTAAAATCACTTGTTTGTGCCAAACCGAGTTTATGCTGCAAATAAAGCACTCAATCTTGGCCCTCATCTTCACAAAAGCTCGGCTCGTTTTCATCGAAACCTCATCGAGGCTGTCCCGAGGTCCCACGTGACCTCCATCCTCGTCTTTGGGCGACCTTTACCCACGTGAACCTCCTCCTCAATTGTGGTTGGCACAAACTGTACGTCAACCCTTCACGCGAAGTGTTGACATGCCCATCTCTCTTCCGCTCTCTCACACCTTATTCACCCCTTCTCAGACACAAACACTTGTCCGCATTGCTCAAGAATTTTAGAGTCCTGTTTCTTTTCTCCTCTTCCAGAACGATCCTCATGACGTTCTGTCACCATATTTACTTTGGCCTAGTCGTCGTCTGGCTGCTGAATTGCGGCCACTTTGACTCTATCATGTCCACCTTAAAGCGATGTATGAGTTATGACCCAATTCTGTAACTGGGGCTAACCATGTGCTTGTAAACTATGTTAATCGAGCTTATGCTCATCTTATTTTGATAGAAATTGAACAGGCCCGCCGCCTCGGTGTAGACGAATTCGTTGCCGCGAAGCCGCATCAGTTTGATCAATCCTTCCTATTCTTCGTCCTTCAGGCGAGGACTCTCGATTATCGACTGCAGGCAAGCTATGCTATGCTACTTATTTCTTGTGTTAGTAGTAAGTATTTCATAAATTCTTATCTATCCTCATTTCCTACGGCATTAATGGACACTTTTGCCTGGCGTTTACTCATAACTGCCTAAATGCAACAATCCAGACTGGCTATGTCCTATAAGAGCAATCCATCGTGTATGAAGGCGAAAAATTCTTTGCTGTTCAACAAATTAATAGTTTTCAACACAAAGAGTAAGTGGGTTTCAAACAATCTTCTGAGGTAACATTGTTGAGGAGACTTTTTATGTTGCGTGTAATTATATGGTGCAGAGATTCGTAGGTCGATCTGGCCAAAAAGACGATGACCGATTCTCGGTGTACTGCAGCCGTTTGGGTTTAATGCGACCTTTAGGTTGACGAAGTTCACGATTACAAGGATCTGTTGAATTCAATGAAAATGTATAAACGAACTTTAACCGAAATAGGGTGAATAAATCTCATATATTATTTTAAGAAAGCTGTCCAGTCTTATCCTATGGTACATACGTAGCTAAATATGGAATGATCTCGCCGATTCCCTTTCATATTAGCCATTGTACTTTTACTAATGTCCATCATGCGATGGACATCACCAGAGCTGAATCTAATTCTTATAAAAGTTACCTCTTATCTATACTCGTAATTAAAAGATGCAATTGCATAGGCATAGATGGATAGATGGATAGATATAGAATAATCTGGATATCCCCTTTGATATTAGTCATAGGTCTTTTACTTGAGTATGTGTGTGTATGTGAGATAATGTTTATGCACAATAGTAGTTCTAATTCAGGGTGATTTATGAAACCAAATGTCAGGGTCGGGTTATCAAGACGCAATGATCCAAGAACAAAGACCTCGTTGGAAATTGCGTAATCGCGTAGGTACTTCTGGTTGGGATGATAAGATGCAAGTGAGTGAGTCTACGAAATCCCACGTCCTGACAAGTCGGTATGGGGGATTTAAGGTTAACGACTAAAGAAATGACATTATCGCGATTGCGTAATCGCCTACATTTTATTTGCTTGTTGGGCTTAATCTGACAAACCATAACCGTATTTTTGGATTCCAATTCACCACCCTCTCTCTCTCTTTCGATCTTGCAATCAAGCAAAACTAGTTCATACTCAACTCTCTACCAGTCTTGCTCACATTTATCGTATTCCCTAGTTTTTTAATTTAAATGGCTTCTTTTATCTTCATTTTAACAGTAGATGTACCATACTTTCGTTCTAACCTCATTCACACTCGCTCAACATGTAGATTAATCTCATCAACCGAACCCGACCTACAAGACTACGCATGTACAAATCGTGCCTTCCCTCGGATCGTTAATCCTCAATGGCCCTAGACTGATGCGTTATGACAGTGGGGTGCAAGTGGGGTACAAGCTTACATCTTATCATCCCAGCCAGAGTTAGCCACCAGTTTACGCAATCTCGGTCAAGGGTTGTTTCTTGGGCCATTGTGTATTGATGACCCTAGCCTGATATTTGGCTTCACTAAGCACTCTCAATTAGAACCGCTATTGTGCATAAACATTATCACACACACACACACACATTAGTAAAAGTAGAATGACTAATATGAAAGGGAATCGGCGAGATCATTCCATATTTAGCTACATATGTACCATAGGATAAGACTGGATAGCTTTCTTAAAATAATATATTTCGGTTAAAGTTCGTTTATACATTTTCATTGAATGCAATAGATCCTTATAATTACAAAAGGAATTCTTGTTCAGACAGCGATGGAGTGCAGCTTCGATGCGGCCTTGTCATAGTTAGAGACCCGCTGGCGGTGCTGACGCGTTTTAGGCAGTCGATTGTCTTTTGGGAAAACAAGGACAAGTGAAATTCAGTGGAAATGTAGGGCCGATTCATAGCTTTGCATGAAAATTAAACTATCAGTCCCTTCATGACTGTAAAAGAAATGTCCCTATATTATCTACTTATAAACAAAAAGTTTTTGATTAATTGTTGAATAAGTTGGTACTTTGATAAGAATAAGTTCAAACTCTGACGATGCCGACCGAATCATGGACGAAGCTGATTCCATTTTCGCCCGTTGTCTTCTGGTGAGATCTGCCTTCGAATCGCTTCATTGTGTACTTTCATGTAAAAATGAAAATCTCCTCAAAAATGAATTGTTTCCATCAAAATGATAAGAGACGTTTTAAAGGCGGTTACCTTCACGTTTACGCCCCACTTCTGCAAACGAGGTTGCGGAGCCTCGCGATGTCTGCTGTCTCACCGTCGAACAATCTGCAACTGTTGTTCCGCCATAGAACACACAATGCTGCTGTTTACCTGTTTGCCATGCCAACAGCAAAGATAAGGCTTTGTACGTGGCTAATGCCAACTATTTTGGCAGATGGAGACACACGGTCTGAAAGAAATGTAGCTCTGAAAAGTGCAGTAAAATTTGCGGCTGGAAGGGATGCTTTGATTGGCCGCATCGACGACAGAATGTCGGAAGGAGACGTCGACTCGGC